GCAGGGACGGCCCCCTCCCAGGTGTCCTGCGGGGCTCGCCGTTCTCCCGCCCCAGGAGATCGATCCGCTGGCTGGCGACGCGCGGCCGCTGCTCGCGGGCCTCCGCCCCCTCCCCCGCTCGGGCTACGCAGGACGCGGCCTCCAAGCAGCGTCCTCGCGGTTCCGGGCCGCGGCCAGGCTCGGCTGCAGGCCAGCGGGAGAGGCGGAGGCGCACCGGGCCCTGCGGATCGCGCCTGCCCTGCCACTCCGGGTCTGGTGGGGGCGCGGAGGGGGGGGCGGAGGAGACAGAGCCCAGCCTCCCCCCGCCGCGGCGCTCCACACCCACCCCCGCCCCCCGCTCCGCTCCCGGGCCCAAATACCCCTCGGGCGCGCGCTTAACCCTTGCTGCGCCGCCAGACCCGAGGGGAGGGGGCGCGCAGTAGGCTGGGGGGGAAGGTGGGGGTGGCGGTTGCGCTTCGCCTGACGACCACTTCGGGGTCCGCCGGGCGATTTTTATTTCATTCTCCGGTTTGCTGCAGCAGCTCTTGGTTGGAAAAAGGAAAGAAAGAAATCTGCCCTGTGTGTGGGCTCCGCTGGGCTCAGGGGCGCAACAGGGGGACCCGAGAGCAAAACGCAGGTCGGGCGTGGAGCATCGAACCTCACTGGCAGAGGACGCCGCAGGGAGACCTTGGGCAAACGAACCCCAGATGAAAAACACACAGCACACAGAGGCCGTTGTGCGCGCGCGGCGGCGGCGGCGGCTGTGCGAGCGGCTCCGAAGATCATGTTTGAAATATGGATCCTGAAGGCGCATATCTCCAGGCGGGCGGGAGCCCCGCGTCGGAGCATGGGGCAGGGGCCGCTGGCCTTCTCCAGGCGTACACGGGGAGGCTGCCATGACGTGGGGTGGGGGGGGACAGCTGGCGACGCAAAAAAGGACGCGTCCCGCTTTGGTGCCTGCGACCCCCGCATGCCGCAATGCGGAGACGCGATCCTGAGGGCGACGGTGTGGCCCCAAGAATTGCCCCGGACCTGCCAAGGGGCCAAGGCCTCGCGGCGGGCCTGGCCCGTTCCCCTCCGGAGCACCCTGCCCGGCCCTCCCACCTGGATCCCCGAGAACATGCCTCGGAGGGACTCAGGGGCGTCAGGGACTTCGCCACACAAATGAAAGCCGACCCTTCACGGGCGGCGTGACAAAGAGCAGAAACACGGGCCGCGGAGGGCGGAGGGGCGCCCTCAGGAACAAAGCCGTCCCTCGGAGAGGGCGCTGGGGGCGGAGTTTGGGGCTCCCTCACCACCTCCCCGCTCTTCTTCCCCTCCCCCCGGCCAAGGACAGTCCCTCTACGTCAGCTCCCCAAAAGCTAAGGCTAAAAATGCAACAATACAAACGCCAGCACCAAAGTCAAAGGCAAGTTCCTCCACCAAGAACAAAGGAAGAAATGAGCCCATGTCAAAGCTTGGGCAGAGTTTGTGGTCGTTCCCCCGGCTGTTTGAAATCCACCTCTGGGAGCCCGGAGAGCCACACCAACTCGAGAGCTCTCCGAGTCAGGGACGGGGGAAGTCACAGGCGGCTTCTTCCGGGCGAGCCCAGGTCTGGGCTCCGTGGGCGGCGGCTGCATCTTCCTGCAGAGCTCGTCCATTCAGGGAGAGGGTGTCTTCCGGGAGCTTATTTCCCCCCGGTGCGTGGGTCAGACCCTCTAGGACCTGGACTCTTGGTGGCCACCCTCTAGTCCACAGCCACTAAATAGTTCCGGTTTCTCCATGGTGCCCTGTCCATCCCTCTCTTTTCGGGGCTGCAGCCCGTGGCTCGGGGAGACAGCCTCGTTCCTCTCCTGGGGCCCCTGGGGCCCCCGGGGCCCGGTCCGATGTGGCACCCGGGAGGCCTCTTTCCCTCCCTCTGAGCAACCGAGGGGCAGGATCTGGCCCTGGCTGGGAGGGGGCAGTGTCGGATCTGCAGACTCACACCCTTCCCCGGGGTTCCCCAGAGGGCTCGGGGATATCCCGGGTCAGAGGCAGGGGCCCCAGCTGAAGGCTCTGGGAATCCCGGCTGCGGCTCCTCTGAGGGGCCAGGACGAGGGGTGGGGTGACAGGGGAGGCCTCCCGGGAAGTTTTCCAGGCCGGACGGAGGGGCCACAGGGTGGGCAGGGGAGCTTCCAGGGTGCCGGCTGCCCCCTCTCTCTCTGCTTCCCCCCTGCGGGCCCAGCGGCGCCCCCCGTGGACCTGAGCTGCCCCACACGCCCCCTGGCTGGTGGCGGGTGGTCCAGAGCTTCCCTCCCAGGTGAAGGGAGGGTCCTGGCCTCTCTCCACACCCGCCCACCCTCTCGGAGGACAAAGTAAACCACCGCGGGAGGGGAGGGGAAAGCAGGTCTCTGTCCGCCGGTGTTTGTGTACTGCGGTCACTTTCCCAGCCCTGGCAAAAAGGCCAGGCGCGGGGGCGGCCGGGGACTTCTGTGGCTTCTGAGGAGCCTTGGGGCTTTGTCCCCCACCGTCTTCGGGAGCCTGGCGGCTGCTCACACCGGCCCAGAGGCAGGTCCAGAAAAGATTCACTGCACTAGCAGGCGGGAGCCACCCTCCCTCCCAAGCTCTGCAGCAGGCCGGGCCGGCTCCTGAGCAAACTCGCCGTCGGGGCACCGGCTGCCGCCGCGTGGCCCCCGAAGTCTCTAGAGCGGCCCCGGAGGGGCGCGGGCCCAGCGAGCACTGGCGCGCGCGGCCTGTGGACTCCGACGCCCCTGGCGGCGCGGAGAGTGCAGCGGCCACTGGCCCTCCCCCAGCGCCCCCTGACCCCAGCTCCTTGGAAACACCCGCTGGAAACAGATTTTCCTGGGGAGTTTTGAGCGAGGGGCCGGTGGAGTGTCCGGATGATCAGCCCCTCCCCGGACCATGGGACTGTCCAGGACAAGGTCGCCGCAGCCCTCCAACAGACTGACAGTGCCCGTGGCCTGGCAGCTGGCTGGCTCCCGGGCGCCCCGCTCCCGCCTCGCAGCCCTTTCCCCTTCCAAGGTCGAGTCATCTGTCCTACAGAAGAGCTTCTTATCCGAGGCCAGTGCAAGGAAAAAGCCCCAAACACAGCAGGTAGAGAATAACATTTCCCCGTGTCCCCTTCCCAAAAAGTCTCCTCCCCCATCTTTTATAAACCCCGAGAGCCACCCACTCCTGTCCCCAGGACTACAGGCAGGCATCTTCCCTCCTAGCTGGGCAAATCCCCACCCCCACCCGGGGAATCTTGGTTTTGTGCCTTCAGCTTGCCTGCGAGCAGTCGCTGCACAGATCGAGTCCCTGTCTGATGCCACCAGAAGATGACCCCCCAGGACCCTCCAGCAAATGAGCCACACTAGTAGCCTTAGGCGGAGCCGCCCCCGCAGCCCAAGCCGCCGCTGCGGGAGCTGCGAGGTGGCAAGTCAACATGTGCGTTCTTGAACACCAGACCGTCTCGGGGTTCTCCCGGATTGCTGGAAGAACACGAGGACTGCGCCTGCACTGGGGGTTCGCTTCTGCACCTCGCCCCTCCCCGGCCCGGGTCGAGGCCCCGAGCAGCCCTCCGCCCAGCGTTCCAGGCAGCGCGTGTGAGGGCGGGAGCGAAGACCCGGATGGCTCTCTGCCCGCCCTCCTCGCTGGTTCCACTCTCGCTCGGCTTCTGCTCTTTTTCTTTCTCCACGGAAGCTCAGCCAAGGGATTGCGCAAGCTTCCTGCTCCAGGTCCTTCAAGGGCCCGGAGCGGGGCCCGGACGTACCCCAGGCCCGGCGCGCCACTGCCCCTCCCACTCAGCTCGCCCTGCCCTGTCCCCAGGTCCCCTCACTCCCACTGGGACTGCGCTGAGCTCGCGGCCCCGTGGGTGGCGCCCTCGGGAGGCCGCGTGGGGCGCAGCAGCTCCCCCAGCCGGAGGCTGGAGCTGTCCGCCGGAACGCGCTGTCTCGCCGCCGGAGGTGCTAAACTTCACACTTCGCGGCTTTTCCAGCCCAGTCGGAAAGGCCTCGGCTAGGCTGGCTGGCTGGGCTGCATGTCGGGGAGCGGGGGACGCGAATTCATGAGGAATGCTTGGCTCCTGGTCCAGTCTGTTCACCGCCCCTTCGCGCGGCCCCATCCGCCCCTTCTCAGCTTCAGCCGCTTCTCAGAGCTCCCGCTCCTTCTTTCGATGCCTTTCCGGGGGACAATTCTCCCCGAACCCCCAAGGAGACCTAACACCCACTGCGCCCCCTCTCCGTCCTCCCCGCCTCTGTTCCTGATGGGAGGTGGGTAATGCTGCTGAAAACTAGACATCCTGCCCCTCCTACCGCACCCAGGAAAGGGCCTGCGGTAAACGGCAGCCCATCAGAATGGGGCGCGCTTGGACTCAGAGCCCCCTTCTGGTAAGGCTCTTGGGCGCCAGGGCCCCGGGCTGGTTGCTCCTTTGCCGCCCTCCTTGTCTGTCCTCCACGCTCTCCCCAGCGATCCTTTGCAGCCTGTCTTCTGTTCTTTGAGCCCTTTCTCTTCCTCGCCTTCCTAAAAGCGCGAAGCCTCGCGGGGCGGGGCGCGCCCGGTGGGGGGCGCGACCTGCCCCTGCCCCTGATTCCGCCCCCTGCCGGCGGTATCCCTTGTGTCTGTACATGACGCAACTCGATGCAACTGGAAACGGCGACGGACGCTAGGGGGTCCCCCGCGGGGGTCCCCGGGCGGTGCACACAGAGAACCAGAGGTGAGGGGGCTGGCCGCGGAGACGAGGGAGACGGCGAGGGATCGCCACGAAGACCGTCCGGGCCCTGTCACGCAGTCCACCCCACTCCGTCCAGAGCCGACACACCTCTGGTGGCGATCCCGCTCCCTCCCTCCAGCCTCCCTCGCCCGGGCTCCAGGATCCCTCCCTCTGCACCTCCCCGGCGCCCTCCTTTTCTCGGCCCCCTCCCGCGCCCTCCCACCTCCCCCTCGGCGCCTGGGACTGGGGCCTCCGGTAGGCCGGGCTGCGCCAATCCGGGCCTCGGCCCGCCTCCTGACGCTAAGCTGGGCCGGAGACGCCCCGCCCGCTGACGTCCGGATTTGCATGAGTTCTTGTGCAGCCGCGGCCCTGGCTCAGTTGTCTGAGCGATCGCGAGCCAGGAGCCGGGCGGGCGCGGGCAGCGGCGGGTGGCCGGGCTGTGCGGGACGAGCGGCGGCGGCGGGGCGCGGGCAGCGGGGTGGCCTCGGCCGGGGTGGCGGCGGGGCGCGGGCGGGAACTAGCAGTGTCTGCAGCCGCGCCGGCCGCCCGTGCCCCGGCGCGCTCCGGCTTGGCCATGGAGCTGCCAGCTGTTGGCGAGCATGTCTTCGCGGTGGAGAGCATCGAGAAGAAGCGGATCCGCAAGGTAGGGCGGCGCGGGGGTGGTGGTGGGGCGGCGCGGGAGCGGCGGCCGGGCAGCCCGCGAGGAGGCGGAGAGGGGGTGGGGAGGCTGCGGGCCGGGGCCAGGGATCCCGCGGAAGCTGATGGAGTGCTGTCTCTTCCCCCCGCAGGGCAGAGTGGAGTATCTGGTGAAATGGAGAGGCTGGTCCCCCAAGTAAGTAGCGGCGGAGGGGCGGGGGCGCCGGGTGCCGCGGCGCTGGGCTCCGGGGCTCGGGACCCGCCGGGCCGGTGGGGTGGCGGGGGGAGCGGACGGGAGGCGGGGTGGAGGTGGGGTGGAGGGAGGAGGGGGTGGGGAAGTCGGTGGCAGGCACTGGGGAAGCCGAGCCGCCGAGCCCGAGCCCGGCGCCCTGCGTTGTGCTCCGCTCTCCGGGAAATGCCATCACTAATTTATGCACTAAAAGGAGCCGGAGGAGCTGGAGGGACGCGGGGCCGAGCCGGGGAGGCCGGCGGAGGGAGGGCGGGCGCAGGCACTGACTGATGTGCAGCAGAAAATGGCTCCTTTTCCCTTTCCCTCCACCGAACGGCTCCATATTGCAAAACCAAAAAAAAAAAAAAAAGATTAAAAAGCGACGAAAATGCAATTGTGTGCTTCTTCCCTCCTAGCGGTGCAGGGAGAGGAAGGAAAAAGGCAGAAAATGTTGGGCACTGTCACTGCAGCGCTTTTGGTGGGGAATTTCTTTTTTTAATTTGAAATGCGAAGGCACCGGATGGAGACAGGCGCGCAGGCACGCACACACACACTCACACACACAGGCATATTTTTGTGTTGCTGAGTATTTGGGGGTGCCTGCCCGTGACAGCGGGCCCCTGGGCCGCGAGGGGGTGTCGGGGGGCCGCTCGGCTGACGGTTATCGGATTAGGGGTCAAGTGGAGAGTGCCTGAAGTCCCAGCGGAGACTTGGGGCTGGGGAGACAGGAGGGGACTGCGACTTTGCATTTTGGCTGCTTTGCACGCGGGGTTGCTGGTGAGCAAAGTGGCTTTGGATCATGTCGCAGGAACGTGCTTGAAATTCTTGACAACTGCAAAATAAACTGCTAGTTTCATTTTCCTTCCCCTTCCTGCCCGTGTGTGTTTATTTTGACTTGGGGGGGTCAGGGGCCGTGTCAGGCCCGCAGAAGTCTACCCTCCAGCCCCCACGTCCACGGCTGAGTAGCGTTCGGTTCATGAAGACAGTGCAGGGCCTAATGTAATTAATTCCCCACCTGGAGGCCGCAGCGCTGGCTCGGTTTCACGCCGTGTCCCCTTCCCTTTTCCTTTGCAAGATACAACACGTGGGAGCCCGAGGAGAACATCCTGGACCCCCGGCTGCTGATCGCCTTCCAGAACAGGTGAGCGTTCCTGGCGGCCGCCCGCAGCGGGGACCCGGTACGGGAACGGGCGACCGGGCCGCCCAGAAGTGAGGGGAAAAGGGCCGGGAAGGGCCCGCGGGAGCCCCCTCCCTCCTACGGGCCGGAATGGCAGGGCTGCGGCCTGGGCTTCTCCAACCAACGTCCTTGGCGGTTGCTGCAGCTTGGGGGGTGGGGGTGGGGCAGGGCTGGAGAAGGCGAGGCTTGTGTTTTGGGGAAACTGCGGGAATGGTTAGTGCGGTGGCCCCTACGGCTGCCCCGAGAACTCGGAGCCGCGCCTGGTACCCCCCAGCCACCCCCCCCCGTCGAAACCTTGGAGCCCCACCCCCAGAGCCTAGGTGTTGCTTTCCTGCAGCCACTGGCGGCCTGGCCCAGCACGTCGCGGGGCAGCTCCGAGGGAGCTGGCACTGCGAAACCGCCGGACGTCACGGAACTGAACTTAACCTGTTGGGGGCTGGAGAAAAGTTGACAAGACTTTAAGCCCCCACTCTCATCCCCAGGGAGCTTGGGATAGGGGCTTGGATTCTGGCTGGCGGTGGGTACTCTTCCCAACGCCCCCCCCACTGGCCTACTAGGTAGGCGAGCTTGGCCCAAAGGGCGTGGGGTGGGCGCTGTCTGGCTGGTGGAGGGGTGGTATCCGAGAGGGGCTCGTCTTCATGCGCACAGATGCTTGTCACGCTGCAGCTGATGCAGCTGGATTCACCGCCGGTGGCTGCGGTTCTCTGTTTCGGGAGGACAGAAGGGGGAAGGGCTGCAGAGGCGGAGAGAGCGGCAGGGGCCCACGGAGCTCGGCCACCCCGCTCTCCCTCCTCCCCCTTTTATTTTGCATTATTTCCTGTGGTGTGTTTGGCGCTAAAACTAAACTCTAGACCCTTGGAACGAGCAGCCAGCGGGGAACTTGCTCTCCCGCGACGCAGGGGGGCACCGAGAAGGGACTCTGCCCCGGCTCCACCGGGGAGTCTGCCACCCTGTAACCATGTCAGCGGCTGATGCCATGTTGCGTAATGAGTCCCTGGAGAATTAAAACGCAGGCTGTTGCAATGCCGTGCAACTTCGGAGTCGGCCTGGCTGGGGCTCCGGGCTGGCGGAACTCCCCTGGGTTAGCCCACCGGCCGAGGATAGGATACCTAGGGTCTCAAGAGAGCGGGTTTCTGGCCCAGAAATGGGATGCAACTTCGGCCAAGGTTAGAGAGGGGCCCCTTGCTGCGGTGGAAGGCTGAGTGGTGCTGGGACAACCGGACCCCCAGCCTCGGGTCGCCCTAGGCCACACCGCAGGTGGAATCTTGGCAGCCGGGTTGAACCTCGCCACGGCCCGTGGGCTTAATTAATTTGGAAATCGAGGGGGCTGGGCTCGGTGGGGGGCGGGGCTTGTGCCCCTTGCCCCGCCCAGCCTCTGCACTGGCCGCCTCGGAGCCGGTTTACCAGGTGGCTGCGAACCTGGCCAGGCCTCTTTGGCTGCCCCCGCCCCCAGCCCCTAATTGGCTCATTTGCCGCTCTGTAAACAAGGGCGCAGCCCCTCCCCCTGTTTAGTGCCTGGCCTTTAGGAAAATACGTCCTCCCTTCCGCTGGCGGCTCTCGTTATCTGAATCTTAATGAGGTCATTAGCATCTCTTGCCTCTGGTGGCAGGGACCTGGTCCTCACACTTCTCCTTCCGGCTGGTGCGCATCCCCTGGACCCCGCGCCCATTCCACTTTGTGTATGACCACCGGCTCAAGGCTGTGGGCGACAGTGCCCGTGACCCAGCCAGGAGCTGCCATCTCCCCTGTGGAGAGGCCAGGTTGTGGGGGGGCGGGGGGTGCCAGTTCAGATGCGGGCCCCAGAGGTGGGGAGGCCCTTCTCGGAGGAGGCCTTGGGCAGATGAGTGTTGGTTGGAGGGAAAAGCGGGCCTCGGGGACCGGACCTGGGCGCCCAGCTGGCTGCAAGAGCTACCTTCTGCCTTGAGTCCTGGATCCTTCTGGGTCTTGCCAGCCCTGCTGCTCGCCGTAGGGGGAACATCGCCACAGGTTGGAGCAAACATAGCAGGAAAGGAGGCGATGTGGAGGCTAACAGCGCTGCTCTTTGCCCCGTGCCCCCAGGGAGCGGCAGGAGCAGCTGATGGGCTACCGGAAGAGAGGGCCAAAGCCCAAACCACTGGTGGTGCAGGTGAGCACACTCGCGGGCCCTGGGGACGCCAGGAGCGGTCCTTTCCCTTAAAGTGGCCACCTGTGCTTTCCCGAGGCCTGGAGGGCAGGGGGAGGGGGTGTATCTTTGGAGTGCTCCGGTTCTTTTCCTTCCTACCTGAGCTTTCACACCTCCCTCGGACGACGCAGCTGCCCACTGGTGGGGGTGGGGTGACCCTGCTGCTGGAGGCTGGCTCTGTGCCTCCTCTCACCTTCACCTCCGCCCCTGCCGCCCAGGTACCTACCTTCGCCCGGCGCTCCAATGTGCTGAGCGGACTCCAGGACTCCTCTGCCGACAACCGCACCAAGCTGGAGCTAGGCGCTCAGAGCAAGGGCCAGGGGCACCAGTACGAGCTCAACAGCAAGAAGCATCACCAGTACCAGCCGCACAGCAAGGAGCGGGCGGGCAAGCCTCCGCCCCCGGGCAAGAGTGGCAAGTACTACTACCAGCTAAACAGCAAGAAGCACCACCCCTACCAGCCTGACCCCAAGATGTACGACCTGCAGTACCAGGGCGGCCACAAGGAGGCGCCCAGCCCCACCTGCCCTGACCTGGGCACCAAGACCCACCCGCCCGACAAGTGGGCCCACGGCACTGGGGCCAAGGGCTACCTGGGAGGTGTGAAGCCCCTGGCCGGTGCTGCTGGGGCTGCGGGCAAGGGCTCTGAGAAAGGCCCCCCCAACGGAATGACGCCGGCCCCCAAGGAGGCAGTGACAGGCAATGGGATTGGGGGCAAAATGAAGATCGTCAAAAACAAGAACAAAAACGGGCGCATCGTGATCGTGATGAGCAAGTACATGGAGAACGGCATGCAGGCAGTGAAGATCAAGTCCGGCGAGGCGGCGGAGGGCGAGGCGCGCTCCCCCAGCCATAAGAAGCGGGCCTCCGAGGAGCGTCACCCCACCGCGGACAGGACTTTCAAAAAGGCGGCAGGGGCAGAGGAAAAGAAGGTGGACGCTCCCTTCAAGAGGAGGGAGGAGGAGGCGCCGGCAGCCGGTGACCCGCAGCCCCAGGACGCCGGCTCCCGCAAGCTCTCCCCGACCAAGGAGGCCTTTGGCGAGCAGCCGCTGCCGCTGACCACCAAGCCGGACCTGCTGACCTGGGACACGGCCCGCAGCTCGCACCCGCCCTCCCACCATCACCACCACCACCACCATCACCACCACCACCACCACGCGGTGGGCCTCAATCTCTCCCACGCACGCAAGCGATGCCTCTCCGAGACCCACGGGGAACGGGAGCCCTGCAAGAAGCGACTGACGGCACGTAGCATTAGCACCCCCACCTGCCTGGGGGGCAGCCCAGCTGCTGAGCGCCCCACTGACCAGCCCCCTGCTGCCCTCCAGCAGCCCGAGGTCATCCTGCTGGACTCGGACCTGGACGAGCCCATAGACTTGCGCTGCGTCAAGACGCGCGGCGAGGCTGGGGAGCCGCTCAGTACCCTACAAGTGAAGCCTGAGGCGCCTGCGACTACCGCAGTGGCAGCTGCGCCGGTGACAGCGGCCGAAAAGCCTCCAGCAGAGGCCCAGGACGAGCCCGAGGAGCCGCTGAGCGAGTTCAAGCCCTTCTTTGGAAATATAATTATCACCGACGTCACTGCGAACTGCCTCACCGTCACTTTCAAGGAGTACGTGACGGTGTAGCTGCAGGGCATCGGAAAGGGGCAGCTCCACCCCGGCCGGAGCACAGTGCCCGGGGCTGGGGGTGCATTCCTCCCGCCCACTGCCTGGCGATCCATGCAGGCCCCTAGCGCCAGGACGGCCGAAGCTGCAGGAGCCGCGTCCCTCTGTATCCACCTGTGCGGTCCTGGCTGGGGCGCCGGCCGCTAGCGCCGAGAACTGGCGCCTTCCACGAGGTGCCTGCGGGTCTTTCCCTTCCACCTGCCCCCTCCCCTCCGGCAAGGACCTCCAGGACTGACAGGGCAGCCGCGCACCGAGGTCTCAGAGTTATAGTATTATATTTTAACCGTGCTAACTTGTCAAGTGCAGACTTTACTCCCGTTTGTACGTGGTGTTATTATTGAAATGTATTGTTTGAGCTCAAAAGCCCGACCACCCCCTTCGGGCTGATATATATATATATATATTTATTTGTAGGTATTTATATATTGAAATATAAAAACCTAGATTTATGGAGTTCCCTCTAGATCATGTTATATTCTATATCAGACAGACTATTTTCTGTTGCCCCTTCTTCCCGGCCCTGCGGTATTTCAGTTGATCCCATTTCTCCCCATTTCAAGAACTGCAATACCGGTAACCTTGGTATATATTTTTTGATACCGTACACATGGATGTGTTGTTTCTATGTGCAGAAAAAAAGAAAAAAGTTTGTTAAAAGGCGAAACGAGCTCTCTAGAAACTGCTGCTGCTAGAAATGTCTAAACTATAAGCTTCCGATTATTCCCTGCTTGAATGTACATATTAAACGGAGATGTTGAAGGTGCGCGTTCGCTGTTGGAGGTTAGGGCAGAGGGAACCCCGGAGGCCCGGTGCGCGCGCAGGTGTCCGGACCCCTCCCCACCCCGCTTCCTCCTCCGGCGTCCGGGAGGAAACGGGCGGCGTCCTGTGCCAAACCTGCGCAAAGCAGAGTGGCCCGGTTTCGAGGGCAGAGGCACCCGCGCTCTGAGGGGTGACCCTGCTCCCCGGAAGTCGGAAGTCGAGAGGCACTCCAAAGGCCAGGGGAATTCCTGAGGGGGGTGCCGGTGTGCTCCCGCCCCCAGGGCTCGGGCACTCCGGCAATCGGGGATCTGCCTAGTGGGGGGAGGGTGCAGGGGTGGGAAGAGGCTTGCACGGGCAGGGCCAGCCCCCACTGGGAGCAGCCCCAGCCAGGCACCTGCTGATCTTTGTCCCGTACCCCCTGGGGCGCAACACACCCCGGCGCTGGCCCCGGTGGGGCAGGGGTGTTCCTCTTTAGTAATCCTTTCCCGGTCGGGCAGGTTCAGCGGGAGGAGACCCTCCCGCCCTCTCCAGCCTCCCTCGCTGGCATCCCGCGCCCCACCCCTCAGAGAAAGCCTCTGAGGCTCTTTCTCTGCCAGGCTTCTCTCCCCGGAAACCGCTGGGCCAGAGGCTCTAACTGGAGGCACGGGGCGAGCCGGGCGGGGGGGTGGGGGCGCGGGCTTCCTGCGAAGTGGATGGGGGGAGAGGAGGCTTGCGGAGCCAGGCTTGGCCGCCCCCACTTCCTTACTGGGGGGAATGTGGGACCCCATCTCACCCATGCTGCTTTGGATGGCATGGCTGGGGCACCTGGTTGGGGGGGCCGGAAGGGGTTAAGGGCCCCCAGGGCGTGAGGGGAGTGGGCCAGATTCCGAGGTGCAGCTCCCTCAGTCTGGGAGCCGCCACCCGGGAATGCGGGGGCGGAGGCCACTTTCTGCAGACTCAGCGATCTTCCTCCCTGCCCGGGTGGCCAGGCGGGGCCGGGGCCGGAGGCAGGTCCCTGTGGGTGCGTGGCTGCTCTCGGCCCTCAAGGCCCCTGGCCTGCGTGCCTGCCTGGGACTGAGGGGCCCAAGCCCTGCTGAGCGCCAGGGCGGAAGAGGTCACGGTGGTTCAGAATGGGTCGGGGGGAGAGGTGGCGAGAGCACGGTGCCGGGAAGGCCAGGGAAAGCAGTGGAGGGCCAGGAGGGCGGGGAGGCCTGAATGCGGACAGTGTGGCCAGTGTTGGCTGCAGGCCACCAGCAACTGGAGATGGGGGAGGGGAGCCCAGCGGGGGAGGGGAGGAAGGGAAGTTTAAAAAAAAAACCGTTGAGAGTTTCTAGCCCTGGCTTTTGTAAATTGTCCCTCCCGCCACCCCCTTCACCCCAGCCCCCTTAGAGAGAGTGAAGCACCGCCCCTCCCCCTCCATGTAATGAATGCCCTTTGCCACCCTGGGAGCGGAGGAAGGGCTGATCCCACGGCTTCTGGCAAACCGCCTGCTCCGAGCTACAACTGGGCCCGTCCTTCACCGGCTGGCACACCAAGGAGCATGCCAGGAGGGGATTTCATCCCCCTGTTTTTCTGGAAAAGGAGAACTAAAAATTTGGGAGTGGGAAGGGGAGCCCCTTGTTCAGGTCCACACAGCTGGTGATGTGGGGCAAGCTGGAGCCCCTGGGGTGCCCCTCCTGCCCAGCGGGTGGCCTCTGCCAGGCTGTGCTTGGGGAACGGTGGAGGGGCCGGGAGGCAGAGGAGGGCACTGCCCCCCGCAGGGAAGGTGATGGCACTGGAGGAAAGATGTGGCCTGCAGGTGGCTTAAGGCCCTGAAGACTGGACCTGGTGGGGGACCTTCGGGGTGGGGCTTCGAGGCGGACAGGTCCAGGGAGAGCCTAGGGCCTTGGTCAGAAGGCCGAGCACGGGCAAGGGCAGGCCTGCCGGACACCACCTGGGCACCCTGTTCCATGAAGACGGCAGGGACGGGGCTCCTCGGGGGGTGAGGCTCCGAGGTTCTGAGGGCAGAGCAGCCTGGGGCCAGTCAGTGGCCACTGCCCATTTCGTGCTGATGCGGGAACCAAGCTGTCTGCTCCACAGTCCTGCAGAGAGGGGCCTTCGGTGACACTGCCCCGCCCTGCCCCCAGTGGGGCCTCCAGGTCTCGACAAAGATGTGACCAAGGCTGAGGACTACTCGGAGGAGGTCAGGGCCCTGATGCAGACCAGCGGAGAGAGTGCCCCAGGTGGGCACTGCTGCCACCTAGCAGGGGGCCCAGCACTTCATCCACAGAGGCTGGAGGCCACGTCCAGGACCCAAAATGAGAGCAGGAAGCAGGGCCTCAACCTGGCACCCTAGGGACCCAAAGGTGTTTTGTCCGGGTGACCTCCCCTGTAGCTGAGCCTTGAGCACAGGGGACTCGGGCTCACTGCCCCTCCCCCCTGTCAGAAGCTGGTGAGCACCTGGTCCCTCTGGCACCCACCGGGTCCCAGACTCCAGCTCTGGGGTCCCCGTGCAGCCTGCACCGCCCACCCCAACCCACCGTCTTCAGAGGGGCCAAGTTCAGTCCTTGCTGGTTGTTTGCTCTGTCCTGGGCTCCCACCAGGCTGTGCGGTGGCTGGGGCTGCCGGGCTGAGCACGTGGACACATAGGCTGCCCGGCGACCTCTGAGTCTCAGACAGACAGTGCCTCACTATCTCGTGTGAGTGTGTCTCAGGACATACGGGAAGTATGCCAACACTAAGAAGGAAAATCAAATGCCCTGTCTCTGACGTCAGAGGTGATGGGACATCCTGGGCCGTGCCTTCGGAGCCTGATTGGGTCCTGCCCCCCGCCCCCGGGGGGAGGCCTCAGCCCAGACCAAGAGGGGGACCGCAGAGAACAGGGCTTCGCGGGTCTGGCAAGGCCAGCTGCCATCGTGACATCGAGTTAGTTGGTGTGGCGCTGAATGGTGACAGTGATCGAAGGTGGGGGTGGGGTGCACCAGCGACAGGGCCTAGAGGGACGAGGGGGAACGAGCAGACCCCGTCCCTCCATCTGTGGGCCCCTTGGAGCCTCTCCGTCCCCGCCCTCCCAGACGGAGACTTCTGGAACGCACACGGAGGGCAGGACAGACGTGGGTGTGGTGCCCACCCCCACCGCACACCTGCCCCTTCCCGCAGCTCGGCCCCTCCTGGCCGGCGGAGACACAGTCAGGGCAGCAAGGGCGGGACCCAGAGAGAGAGTCTTTGGCACTTGTGGAAAAGTCCCTGAGTAAACTATCTTTTTTAACCAAGGAACATTAAACATCCCATGTCTGATCCAAATGCCTCTGACGACGTCTGGCTCAGAGTCTGGGGTGACAGGGCATGGGGACAGGGACCCCGTCCGTCTACTGTCCCCTCTGCCTGCCCGCCCTTCCGCCCTGGGCCACCCAGTGGGTGCTGCCTGCCATGGGTCACCCTTGACCTGGGCCTCACCCTCTCCCCTCCGGCTCTATGGACAATGCCGGGACAGGGCAGCGACAGCCGCAGCCCCAGAGCCACACCCGTGCTGGGTCGGAGCCCAGGTTCTCCTGTGCTCCAGCGCTCCTCACTGCTCATCTGAGCAGGGGGCTCAGAAGAAGAAATCGCCCTGAGGGTGGTCCTCGGACACAAGTGTCCACTTCCCGTGGCCATGGCTCCCACCCCACCCGCTCCTCTCTCCCCCCCGCACCCAGCGCACGGGCGCTTCAAGGGCCATCTCGTGCCCCAGGCACAGGTCTTCTGGCCGCAGGCCCCTCTCACACATGGCGACGTGAAGGCTTAGCTGCTGGGTCCACCTGTCCACGCGCCCACGTTGGGAACCCGGAGAACAGGCAGGGTGTCCTTCCCCAGGGGCTGTGCTCTGGGCTTCCAGCATTCCCGCGGCCGCTCCAGAGGCCAGCTCGGGCCCCATGCCCTCTCCCAGGTCGTTCTAGATTATTCCAGCCTTTGCCAGGCCGGTGGTGCCTGAGGTCCTGCAGTGTTCACTGTCCCCTGCCCCCAGCTTCCGGTCACTCAGCACACGTGTGGGCCTCGGCTCCCCGAGCGCAGAGCGCCAGGCAGACGCGCGCGGGTGGCGGGCATTTTACGTGCTCCCGCAGCCCGTGCGTGGTTCCCAGGTAACTAACTGCCATGGAATCAGACACCATGTGAGTGTATCTGAGTGTGACTGTGTGTGTGAGAGAGAGAGACAGAGAGAGCGAGAGAAATGGGGCCTCTCAGACAGTGACCCTGATTTGTCCACATCAAGCCATTAATAACGTCCACAGACCAAGGGAGGGCCCTGCCGCTCCCGCGCCGAGGCCAGGGACCCCTCCTGCCCGCCAGGCCTTGGGTGGACACGCACACACGCAGCTGCTCCGAAGTCCTGCCGGGCCCGCTGCCCACCCCTCACCTGCTCGGTGTGTGAGAGCTTCAGGAGACTCCAGGTAATCCCGTGGTAATTGAATTTAGGGAACCAGACCCTAAGGGTAATCCTGGCGTCAGTTCTAGGCAGACGCGGTTTAATTTCCGTGCTTAGCTCGTGGCGCAGTCTGCTGCTCACAGCTCAGCGCCATCTCAGTCTTTCCCGTCGACTTGTGACCTGAGGGTCCGGACGGGAGGGGTGTGGGCGTGTGATCCACGCGCACTGGTAGCAGCAGTGGGCGGAGGACGCAGGACACGCCGCCGTTTGCCGTTTTCGCGTACGGTCTTTACGCGCGCTGTGCGCAGAAGGCCAGGCGGCCAGCGAGAGCCCCCTGAACGTTGCCTGTGGTTATTATTCCACTTAACCAATTACCTGCGCGTTCTCAGATCTAAGTGGGGGCAGAAAGCTGGCGTCTCCAAAGGCCGGCGGAGGAGCGGGCGTCTCAGCGTGCGTGTGCGTGTGCGTGCGCACTCTGGGCTGGCGGAGGTCCGGGCAGCGCGGCCCGCCCCGAAGGGCAAGCCTCTGACTTGCTGCCTGAGTGACGGGCCCTTTCAAAGGCCCCTGGAGTTTAATATCGCTAACGACTGCCTCTGACTCCTTCTGACCTGCTCCAGGTGTAAAGTTAGCCTCCCTGGAC